TTTTGAGAATATTTTGTTTTTGGCGTATTTTGTTTTGTTTTTAGTGCATTTTGTTTTGTTTTTCGTGTATTTTGTTTGGAAGTCGGTTTTTAAAACCTCCACTTGTTAACATAAAATAACAGAAAAAAAAACAACGTAAACACGTTGGTTTGAAATGTACGTCAATACTTGAATGTATTCATCTATGGAAAGTCTCAAAAATAATAAACTCATGGTCATCTTATATATATAAATAACGCCCAGTGCCTCTCTGTGCGCTGAGTGCTTTACCACGCGATATCTATTGAATTTTTCACTCATTAAAATAATTTAAAGACCGCTCTAATAACGATGTGTTTATATCTCTTAATATACACTCATTCCTCGAAAAGTAAAAACATATTTAAAATATAGGTTATCGCAATCTTTGTGTGAATTTTTACTCTATGATCAGCATGCTATTTCCATGATTGGTGGTAGAAATCCCTAAACTAAAAGAACACTACGTAACAGGCCGATATCGGCCTGACGTTATACTTGAGCTGTTGCGGACGAAGAAAACTATGTCACTCTCGCTAGTGCGAAACGAGATAATCGTTTTGCACAATATACAATATACAATATACAATATACAATATACTAATATACATTACATAAAATATTTATGTGTTTGTTTCCATAAAGTTAGAGCAATTTAATCTTTCCTAGTGTTGGTGATAGTAGGGGAGCCGACGATGCTAAATGGGGATTTACTCGAGCGTCCTAGAGACCTATTGGAATGCAAAGCTTTGATGATAAGAAGAAAAAAATGTTATGTGATATATGCCTTTATATCGGTGGGGGAAGCGGATATAGATTTTTGAATATGTAAAAAAAAATGTTGCATGGATATAATATAATTTTAGAAATGTACGTATGTTAATCTGATCTTTTGCATGATACGGATGTTTGTATATAATGGTTGAAATGGAAAAAAAAGCTCTGATTCACTAATCTGACGATTTCGATGGGACGCAAACTCGCGGCCATTTTCACAATGTGCAAAAAAAATCGCAATTTCGAAATACTCAAGCTCGTCAGATTAAGATATATGTGGTTCATCTTTATGTTCTACACGTACTGTCTCATAATCTGATGATTATCTAGGGATTCGCCTGATATGACAAAAAAGAATTAGAAAAATGGTTCATCTTAATCTGATCCTGTATTCTTCACAGGCGGCCTTATGGTCTTCATGTTTTGTGGAGGTACTTAGCCGGGTACAAAGTATCTTCCTATATATTAATTTGCCGCGCTTTAGTAAATCCCGAAATCCCCGCTTCGGCTCCCCTACTATGAGTCTAGAAAGACCTGCCACGCACTGGTGGAAATATCATTGGGGGCGCATTTTGGCCCGCCGCACCAGATGAAGAATTATGATTTTGCTTGCCGCAGTAAACGTATTAACTCGCTGCCCGTGTACACAAACACACAAATTTACGAGATGAATATTTTTTTATAAGCGAAGCTAGGGCCGCAGCTAGACATCTGCAATTGCAGATGCTTCGACAGAAGAGGAGACAAACAGAAACAGGATAAAATATTAAATTGCATTTGCAGGCATCACGATGTTTTCCATCACAGTAGGAACGTCAGATAATTGTAGCTACATATGAAATTAAAACACACTAACTGTAGCTCGCGACTTCCCTCGCGTCTAATTAAAAAACTTTTCTAAAAATTACTTAAAATTACTTTTGTAACGGTGCAAGAATTTTTAAATTCGGCCCAGTAGTTTTTGCGTGAATCAAATACATACAAAAATACAAATCTTTCCTCTTTATAATATTAGTATTGATATAGATTGGTTTGAATTTGAACCTATAATTAGCAGACAAGTCCAGTTAATTACTTAATTAACTAACTAATTATTTGTTCCAGGAAATATGGATATGACTCAACATAAGAATTCCGTTTTCTTGATTACAGTAACAATTCTATCGTGGATATCAACGGGTAAGTACGTTTATTATGGTCTCAATATACCATAGACAATAAACGTTTTTTAGACCTGTACACACGCTGACAACTTTGACTAAACTTTGTGTGATTGTCGCTTGCTTCGCAGTCGCAACTGTCAACTGTTTAGTTGCACAAATAAAAGTCGAGTAGTGCACCTCCATATAAAGCATAGGAATAAATACGAGTCTAAACAGTTGTACGATAGTTTAGTCAAAGGTGCGCACGTTTTTAATCTATGGGATTGTCAAAAAAAATATAATACGTATAAAAATTGTATAGGTTACATTATTTAGTTCAAAAACTTGCTATTAAGTAGCCGTCTTAGTTTAATAAGGCGTTACTACGCTCATTGTCTCTGGTCATACGCATAAATTTCTTCTTATTATGGTCTGTCTATGGTTGAAAATTAAAAACAATTCTGTATTTTATCTTTAATATAATTATTTTTGAATTTTCCAGTTGAAAGTATCGATTGCTTCAAGTGCGTGTCTATGAACGGTCGTTTCCCTGCGTGTGATGATCCCTTCCACAACAATCATTCCCTGCAGCTGCTCGAGTCGCCTTGTATGGGCGGCAGGAAGGGGAGAGACGGTCTATTCCCTGCC